GTAGATGCACTTCTGATAGGTACTACAAAAATCAGACTTCAGGTGTAAAAAAGAATATCCTGGAGAAGCTAATCAGGAACTAGATGTTCCTCATGATCCTTGACTAGTCCACCATTCTATGACTAGGTTATTGTTAACTGTGGGGAGGACTTTTGTGTTGGCGTGTTGAACAAAGCCAGCTGATGAAGTTTATTTAAAGTGTATGTATTGTGAGCACTGTGAAAACCAGTTCTGTGAATGGAGCTGGTTGGTTTCAAGTAGTTCCTTCCTTCTAGTATCAGTCCAGGATTCTACATTAGTGTACTGGCACAACCATTTGTGAAACACAGCATCCCATATCATTCTGGTTAAAACTCATTCCATCAAACTATGGCTCCTTTAGCCCTGATCTATGGACTAGGTCCCAATTGTCGGGGTTCACACACTCTCTTAATTGATTGGTTAATGGGAGTATCTGAGTTTGTTCAGCACATAGAGCCAAACCCAGGCATCCCCTTTTAGATGGAACCTGTTGTGTGAATATGGCTTCAGAGATGATGTGAGTTCCATATCATCCAAAATAAGCTCCTTCAAATGGGACTCTTCAAAATTGAGCTAGAAGATCAAGTGCTGCACAAGGAAACATGGATATTCATGCATATGGCCTATCCCTCTATGATGAGCCAAGTGCTTCTCCAGAAAACAAAGGATCAGTACTCCATAATATGTGTGAACACGAACCATTCTGGTACTACATGGTCATTGCTGGTGATGGTTCTCCAAAGCTTCATCCACCTGACAGTTCTACAACATTCTTTCAACTGTGTCAAAATCAGGTAGACAGCTGAGAATCTGCTGTGGCTTTTTCGCCCACTCGTGAAACTCAACATTCCCCCTGCATTCCGCTTCCCATCTTGAACGTTGCAAGCATCTGTGAAAATAAAAGAGGACAGGAAGGAAGTATTCTAACATGTTTCAGGCCATTTGTATCCTCCTGTGCTGACAGCAGCGGAATCTTTTCCACAGAATGCCTTCAGGGTTCAAGGTAATTTTTTCAAAGGACGGGAACAGCAGATTTTAATGGTGATTAATTACCAGTTAGTGAGGCAAAGGTATATTTGTCCGCTCAGTGGGACGCTAGGAAGACAGTATAAAAAGCCCTGTCCTTCACAGGATCTCCAACAGCTTAACATCTCATCCTCTCTTGCCTTCTTCTCCTCATAGGAACAGGTAAGCTGGTCTCTCCTACCTTTTAGAGGTTTATTGGCAGTTTTGGAATACCCAAGACTTGCGTAGTAGCATCTGTCTGAATTTGCTGGAAAGGCAAAACAGGATTAAGTCAGGGAATGCATGGTGGAACACCATCATGAAATTTATAGGCTATACTGGAAAGTGGGAACTACATCCAGGAGAATAGCAAAGGCAAGACTTTTGTGTTTTTGCTAAGAATGCAGTGCTCTTGATCTCTTCGATCACTGGGACTAGAAAATTGATGCTCTGTTCTACTACCAAAAGAGCTTCAAATGTTTGTAAATCATTTAAGTAAAACCAAATGAATAATTCAGAAGATCCCCAATTTTCTTAATATGGGAAGCCAACCACCTCTCCTGGATGGGATACCGTAAATCTATGTTCTTCCATAATTCCTTTGGGGCCACCCTTGGTTGGTGTATGTCAATACTGTCTCCTTCTTCTTTCAGTCCTATCACCAGACATGGCTTGCTGTCCACCATCCTGTGCTGTCCCATCCTGTGCTTCCGCCCCTGTCGTTGGACTTGGGTCAAGTGGATGTGGACCTTGGGGTTATGGCTACAGAGGTCTCGGACTTGGCTATGGAGCTGGTGCCTTGGCTGAATCTTCAGGAAACCTGGGCACCCTGGCCGGAGTCATCCCCTCCTGCATCAACCAGATCCCACCATCTGAGGTGACCATCCAGCCCCCTGCAGTTGTGGTCACCATTCCTGGTCCCATCCTATCTGCCAGCTGTGAGCCCGTCGCTGTTGGAGGCAACACTCCATGTGCCCCTGGAGGTTTTGGACGCTTCGGTGGTGGCTACTATGGAGGCCGCTTGGGACGTTTCGGTCGCCGTGGAAGCATCTGCGCTCTCCCCTGCAACCTCCCCTGTTAAGTTAACCCGGACTCTCCATGACCAAAAACGGATTTGTGAAGATTGGCTAAGGCATGTTTGGCCTGCATTTAGCTTCCACAGTTCTCTTCCATCTACTCTCAAGTTACTCCACTGCTTGTATTCTTCTCCGGTATCCCAACATCTATTAGCCCTGTGCCCAATTGATCAGTCAACGGCTTTATATGAAGTGTTGAATGAACGGAGCTCTGCAAACATCTAGTCTCCTCTAAAATTATTTGTCAAAGCAGAGATGTTAATTTCTTTGCACTGTTTGGAACCCCTGATGGCTTCTTGCAATATTCTTTCTTTGCACTTCAATAAAAAAAAACATTCTGCATTGCAATCCTGTGGTTCTCCTTGGTTGTCATTTGAAGATGGGCAAACTCTTGTCTTGGTGGCCCTGGAGGTCTTCTCCATATAGCCTGGGTGGGTCAGGGTTCGAAGAGAAGGTGGACAATTTACCCTACTAACGAATATGCCATGTTGAGTGATGTTGACCCTTGGTTGAGTTTGCCCTTTGCATCAATCCATGCCAACTGGGCTGGGTCTTGGTCAAAACTGCTAGAAGGACTATCACCGTTCTGGTTCTCTTTCTCCTCTATTTTGAGACCCCACCCCCACAACAGTTCTGGGCTCCACATTTGCAGAAGGATAGAAGAACTGGAGATATTGTCTAAATCAGGAGATTTATGGGACTCACCATATCTTTGTTCAGCTCCATAAAGGGAAAAAAAGAGAAACACATTCATGAAAGAATAACAGAAGAACAGGTATAATATGTGAGATCTACATGGCCCCTAAAGCTTGATTGACTATATGTAGTCGCCCAAAGCTTGAATGTGTTGACCCAAAGGTGCTTTTTTTTCAGGAGGCAACTGGACTACCTTGTTTTTCTTTGAAGACGTTTTGCTTCTCACCCAAGAAGCTTCTTCAGCTCTGACTGGACCCTTCTATTCCCCACCATCCAGGCAGAGCTGAAGAAGCTTCTTGGATGAGAAGCGAAACATCTTCAAAGAAAAACAAGGAAGTCCAGTTGCCTCCTGATGAAGCACTTTTGGGACAACTAGGACCTGGATGGCCGAGAATCTCCATAGACATGAATGAGTTGAATTCTCATAAGAGGTTTGAACCTCCATAGAAAAACATGTGGCTGATCTCTCAAAAAGGATGAAACCGGTCTCACAGCGCCTCCTTGTGGGCATTGTATCTCAAAACACACGCAGGATATACACTAAAAATGGGGGGGGGGAATCTCCTTCCTCCAAGCTATTGGTGGAAAAACCATGTTGGTGGAGAAACCACGTTTTGCACAATATCGTAGCTTAGTCAAGGAGCGACGCAGCTGCTACCTTTGTGTAAGAAGCTAAGCTTTGTTAGAACAGCTGGATGAACAGCGTCTGGAAGAAGAATAGAAGGAGTTCTATAGTTCATGGGATATTCTGGAGCTCCCGGGAAAGTTAATAAAATAACAGAGTTGGAAGGAACCTTGGAGGTCTTCTAGTCCAACTTCCTGCTCAAGCAGGAGACCTTCTGCCCTTCTGTGTAGGCCAGATGCTGTGGTTCCTTTGAATGAAGGAATGAATGAGGGAATGAATGAATGAATGAATGAATTCTTTTTTAAAAATGAATATTTCTGTTTGGAACACTTTAGAGATCTCCAGAACATTTTATGCCCAGAAAGGATTTTCTTGACATATTCAATTTCTTCCCCTCTTTGAAGGATTTCTTCATGGCAAAGATCCATCTTGAGAAGAGGATAGACCATATCCCTAGCATTGTTAAATTCCAGTCCTATCATATTTTTAAATCAAATCCTGACTCACATGGAGAAGCACCACCAGGAGTCATGCTTGGAAGAGGGGCTTTGTTGCATCTCTGCATGATCTAGAACATAGAAAAATAAGGTTGGAAGGGGCTTTGGAGGTCTTCTGGTCCAGCCCCCTGTTCCAGCAGGAGACCTTCTGCTTAGGCCAGATTTTGTGGTGGAATGCAGGCCAGAGTGGCAAGAGAAAGAGTCTCTTTTCTAGGGAGCAAAGAGACAACAAGGAAACAAGCACTGATGATGAAACCTAGTTTGGTAATGAAATGTCTGTAGGAAAACAATCAAGCTCAGAGAGAACCAAGGACCCCATAGTCACTGTCTTCCTCCTCCTCCCCCCCTCCTCCTCCTCCTCCTCCAGAGCTAACATTCTAGGCAATTCAAAGACATATCTACAAGTCCTGTGAAAAGAGAGAGGGAAGATGGTATAACCTGATTCTTTAAAAGGGAGGTAGATACCACCATGGAGGAGACGGCTATATGAGCTATTACTGTAGTCTTGAACATTCAATCTAGTCCAACCCCCTGCTCAAGCAGGAAACCCTATAACATTTCAGATAAATGGTTGTCCAATCTCTTCTTAAAAACTTCTAGTGTTGGAGCATTCACAGCTTCTGGAGGCAGGTTGTTCCACTGGTTAATTGTTCTAACTGTCAAGAAATTTCTCCTTAGTTCCAGGTTGCTTCTCTCTTTGGTTAGTTTCCATCCTTTGCTTCTTGTTCTGCCTTCAGGCGCTTTGTGAAGAGCTTGACTACCTCTTCTTTGTGTCAGCCCCTGAGAGACTAGAAGACTGCTGTCATGTCCCCCCTCGTCCTTCTCTTCATTAAACTAGACATACCCAATTCAAGCAATCGTTCCCTATCTGTTTTAGCCTTGACTTGGCTCATCTGAACGCTTCTTAAGTTCTTCAAGTTAAGGGTTGTCTGAAGGCAGACATGGCTTTGAAGGCAACAATCCATGACCTCGTGGAAATTTAATTCACTGCAACCCATGCCACAAAGGATGGAGATCAAAGGAAGACAGAGACGTGGATTCAAGCAATTTCTTTTTATTGCAAAACACAGAGAAGTGACATTAAGAGTCATGCAAGAGCTGCTGAAGGCATGTTTTATATATAACATATATGTAGACAAAGAGGGAGGGAACCTGAGCATTTTAAAGAAAACCAACAAGAGAAGTGAGTCCAACACCGTCGTGATATCTGGAGGGGTCGTCCGTGCCAATTTCATCCATCTACAGGCAGATGCTACCACGACGGCTCAAGCAGATGCTTCCTCTATGGTTGTATGGGTACCTTTTGCCAAGAAGACCACCATAACCCCTGAAGCCAAGATCTCCATAGCCCAAGCTTCCTCTCCGCCCATAACCAGAGATGGCACATGGGGTGTTGCCTCCAACGGCAACGGGCTCACAGCTGGCAGAGAGGATGGGACCAGGAATGGTGACCACGACTGCAGGGGGCTGGATGGTCACCTCAGATGCTGGGATCTGGTTGATGCAGGAGGGGATGACTCCGGCCAGGGTGCCCAGGCTTCCTGAGGTTTCGGCCAAGGCACCAGCTCCGAAGCCATAGCCCAAACCATGGCCATAACCCAAACCATAGCCAAGACCTGCATGGCCGAGACCCAAACCAAGACCTTTGGAACCGGCTGATCCGAAGCCAACAACTGGGGCAGATGCACAAGATGGCACAGCACAAGCAGGTCCACAGTAGGGCATTGCGTTGAGTTGTAAAGTAAGTCTAGCATAAAAAAAAGAGAAACATTGTGAGAATTGCATTCATTTTGCCCACTCCATCTCCAGTGTCTTCCTTCAACTGGCAGATACTTCAACAAGATTAGCTAGAACTGAGTTGAACTAACGTCTTAGGCTTCTTCAACGTAAAATAGCCAAGAAATTCAACAGGAGAAGCATGGAAGTTTGAAGGGAGACCTGGAAAATCAAGTCTTGTTTTTATTAGAGGGGAGAAGAAGAGAAGACTGGGTTTTATCTCCACTATTTCATCATTTTCGAAGCCCACTTTGGATCCACCATGATGGTCCTTGATTTCCTCTGAATAGAGGAAGAAGTAAAAAAAATGTTCTAGAAGAAACCAGAGGTAATCTACTACTTTAACCCTGCCAAGAAAAATGCATGGTTGAAGTCATCAAGATTCAACATCAAATCAAAAGCTCCATTGTTTTCACTTTGGATAAGAAGTGGAGGAGAAATTTACATTTCTACGTCTCCTGACTCCACCAAGCATAAAAATACTTTGTGAACATTAGCCCATCTCTGCACCATATACTTTGTTTAAGGCCGAAGAGTGTGCTTCTTTCTTTGGTCATCTGGTGGCCAAACCTCCAGTTGATCAGGAGAAAGCTCCTCCCATATTTTTCTTGTCATCTTCTCCAAAACTAAGATTAGATCTCAATTTCTCAACTGGTTTCATGACCTCTGAGTAAGAAGTCAAGGTTGGATCCCAATCTGTCATTCTAGTTAAGAGTTAGGTTAATCGGTGACCCTCAAACATTTGTCATTACAACCTAGATTTGCAAGCATGACTATCCAAGCTATCTCAAAAAGACCCGATTGCTTTCCAGTATCCTATCTATAAAGTCCATTCTCTTTGGATGGTAAGCTAAAAATAGAGAAGGAGAGTGGAAAAACTCAAAATGAAGCCCTTCTAGTCCTTCAAATAGAAAGGGTGAAGCCAGTCCTGAAAACAGAAGATGACTATCCAAGCTATCTCAAAAAGGTTGGCTTGCTCTCAATGCCCTAACATAAAGTCTGCTATCTTAGGATGGTGAGCTAAAGAGATATGGTTGAGAAGGAAGAAACTCAAAATGATATCTTCCTGGTCTTTCAAGGAGAAAACCTAGAAGCCGGTCCTGAAAGCAGAAACGTTCAGAAGCCTTCTAGCATGTCATCTGGCGAATAATCTTGAAGAATCTCAGATTCTGGCTTGCTCTCAACCAGGAGGAATTCTCTCTGAGTAGATAGTCTTACCTTCTTCGAAGAGAAGTAGTGAAGACAGGAGAGTCAAGCAGAAGCTGATGGCACTGCAGAGAGCAGAGGGAGCTTTTATACGATTTGGATGGCATCCCCAGGAAGTTGGGACTCATAAAACTTCATTTGGCTTCCTACAATTTTCTTTTCGGCGTTTAAAAGAAGAAAAAAAAAAAGGACTTCACTCAGCACAAATTGTCACTGTGAGGTGACTGTGAGGTGACTGTGAGGTGCATTAATCGTGTCATCATAAATAAAATAAAACAATTTCTTCCGTGTTCCCTTTCAAGTTTGGTGGCCTCAAGCCAAATGTTTATCTGATCTTGGAAATGAGCAACACCCAAAGGTGGAGATACAGGTAAGATCAAAGCTGGGTGATTGTCCTCAGTAGCAACTCTGCAAAAAATGGCAACGTTTTCTTGAATCAGCACAGAGACTTACGGATAACTTTGACTTCAAGGCGGAGAGCTTGTGACCCTGTAGGTATCCCTGAATCTACCCAATACATGGGAAAATGGGAAAAGTAACATTCCCAAGGTCTTGTTGAAAACTAGTAACCCAAACTCAGTTTGCACCTGAAACCACCTGCTCTGGGTTGAATCGACACTGCAATAATGTCTGGAGGATAAAGCATCCTGAAGGTCCCATCACCAATTGAATGTCAGCTCCAGAACCTCAGTGGTCAACCTTCTCCAAGATGGTCTTCATTCCAACCTGTTTATCCCAAATATTCAATCAACCCAAGTTTAGTAAGCTTTCAAAGAGCCATAAAAATGTAGGTGTTCTAGAGCACATTTGGAGTGGTGTGAAGATCAGAGGAATTCTAAGACCATCCCCTTGTTCCCATGGAATTATTTTGGGGGAAGATGGTTCTTGATGAAGATCTAAGCTCTGTCATCCAGGGCTATCATAAACTGGGCTTGGAGTTTGGTCCAGAAGACTTTGACCCATGCGGTGATCAAGGAATGCTGCTCAACCTATTGGCAGCCTGGGATTCTGTATTCTTGGAACCATCTTCAAGGACAGCCCCATGCTGAGTAGAGTGTAGCAGTCAAGCTGTGTGGAGGTGATGGTGGTGATGGTAGTGGTGACAGCAGGAATCATAGTACCAGTTATTCCTCAGTTTACTTACTGTTTTGGGTCACAGATTTCTGAGCCCTGCTAACCATGGTTTCTTAATAAACCTTAGTTAATATGACTTATCAGGGCATATACCGTGTTTATTTCCCAGAATCATAGAGGAGCTACTGCAGCATCGTCAGCAGTTAATCGTCCAAGCACTCGTTGAAGTCCTTCTATGAAAGCCTATAAATTTCATATAGCAATCTCTCTCCCTCTCTCCTCCTCTTTCCCCGTCTCCCCCCTCTTCCCACCTCTCCTTCCCTCTCTCCCTTTTCTCTTTGATACTCTCTTTTTCTCCCTTTCTCTCCAAACCCTGTCCTCTATCCTCTGAACGAATAGATGGAATAAAAATCAAACCAATCTTTATTGAATAATGCTGTTAAAGGTTATGGAAGATCAGATCAGTGATTCTGCTGATGCTTAATCACTGCTCCTGATGCAACAGGGATGAGGAGAGACAGAAGCATTGGTAGCAATGGAATAATTAAATGAATATTTTGAAATCTGAAATGATAAACAAGAAAGATGAATGCCACTTTGTGCTCAGCGAGGTTAGACATAAAGTGCATTTATCTCCATGGAAAGAACAAAAGAAGAAAAGAGGAAATGGAGATAAGATCAAAATGACAACTATGTCACATGAGGTTGACCAAATGCCAAGTCTTCAATTCATGTTTATTTCCTATTATTAAAGTAATTTGAGGCAAAGAGATGAGGCTGTGTACAAACATCTTGTTAATGAAAGCCTGAGGCAAAAAGGGGTGTCCGTAAGCGAGTGGTGGGGACAGAAAAACAGTATAAAAGAGCTTCTCAGGCTGAGAGCTTCCATCAGCTTCATCTCCTCCTCTTGACTGCTTCTCTAAGAGTCTCTCTGGTGAGTCCCCTGCACTTCAGATGTCTTTCTTAGCTGTTTTTGCTCTTTGTTTCAAGAATTGGGGTGGCATGGAAGATGTACAATGTATTCCACTCAGAATCTGATTTGGAAGGAAGGGAGGGAGGGAGGGAGGGAGGGAGGGAGGGAGGGAGGGAGGGAGGAAGGAAGGAAGGAAGGAAGGAAGGAAGGAAGGAAGGAAGGAAGAAGGAAGGATCAAACAATTCTGTCTCCTCTTAGGAAGAGCCTAGATGAATGTTTCATTCTAACCTTAAAGCAGCATTCAGAAAACATGTTTGCTCTCAGAATGAGATATATACCTACCTCTATTTCATTCAAATATTAACAAAAACTTTCCAGATTTGCACAACTGTGGAACAGCCATCATACAGCTTTCCATCAAGGCGAGAAGTCACTGTCCACTAAATATGGTCCACTTTGTGATCCGCCTAATGGCAGACTAAAAATTGTTGTGGTACTAATGACAATTTGAAGTTATGATGTTGCGGAAAAAAGTGCCTTGTGACTGGTCCTCGGACTAGCGACCATCACAGCAACATCCCTGGAGTCATGTGATCAAAATTTGGGTGTTTGGCAACTAGATGTATTTATGACAGTCTCAACTGAGGTTGTGCATTGAAGACCACCTGTCCATGTCTTCTGTTTTTTCTTTGATGCAATTCATGTTGTGTATGAATTACAAAATCCATGGTTGTTCTTCTTCCAACAGTTCTTCCATCCATCCAGCCATGCCTTACTGTGGACCTTCTTGTGCTGTGCCATCTTGCGCATCCGCCCCAGTTGTTGGCTTCGGATCAGCCGGTTCCAGGGGTCTTGGCTGTGGTTTCGGCTATGGAGGTCTTGGTTACGGTTTGGGTTATGGCCATGGTTTGGGCTATGGCTACGGAGCTGGTGCCTTGGCCGAAAGCTCACAAAACCTGGGCACCCTGGCCGGAGTCATCCCCTCCTGCATCAACCAGATCCCAGCATCTGAGGTGACCATCCAGCCCCCTGCAGTCGTGGTCACCATTCCTGGTCCCATCCTCTCCGCCAGCTGTGAGCCCGTCGCCGTTGGAGGCAACACCCCATGTGCCCCTGGAGGTGTCGGAGGCATCGGTGGTGGCTACTTTGGAGGCCACCTGGGACGTCTCGGCCGCCGTGGAAGCATCTTCTCTCTCGGTCGCAGAGGTAGCATCTGCACCCTCCCTTGTTAAGTGAGCCTGGACTCTCCCTGACCAAAACGGATTTCAGAAGATCAGCTAAGGCGTGCCCGAGCCCTGTTCTGGACTGCCTGTGGCTTTTACGACTCTCTTCTTGCTACTCTAGTTTTACCCCATTACTTGTGTCCTCTTCTGGGATCCCAGCACCATTAGCCTCCTCCTAAATCGATTCAGTCCAGAGCTTCATGTGAAGTTTGAAGGAAAGAAGCTCTGCCAACATCTAGGACACTGTGGGTCCTCTCCGCCCTGTGAAATTGTTTGACAAATTCTTTGCTTTGGAAGACCTAATGGCTTGTCCCAAAATTCTTTCTTTGCCCCTGAATAAATGTTATTCTGCATTATAAACCAGTGGCTCTTGTTTGGTGGTAATTTGAAGATGGGGAAGTCTTGTCTTGGTGACCATGGAGGTTTTCTCCATGTAGGTAAGCCTGGAAAGAGAAGTGTAGCTGAGGTTCCTCTTCCGATGAATAAGTTATGGTGGGTGAAGCAGTTCATTGATTGTGTGATTCCATTTCCAATCAGAAGGCCTGAGTTCATACAATGCATACAGCCACAATTAAACAAGCCACATTATCCCTTTTCCTTCCTTCCTTCCTTCCTTCCTTCCTTCCTTCCTTCCTTCCTTCCTTCCTTCCTTTTCCTTCCTTCCTTCCTTCCTTCCTTTCTTTTTCTTTCTTCCTTCCCTCCCTCCCTCCCTCTTTCTGTTTCCCTTATTCATTCCTTCCTCCCTCCCTCCCTCCCTCCCTCCCTCCCTCCCTCCCTCCCTCCCTCCCTCCCTTCCTTCCTTCCTTCCTTCCTTCCTTCCTTCCTCTCTCCCTCCCTCCCTTCTCCTTCCCTTTTCCTCCCTCTTTCCCTCCATCCCTCCTCCTTTTACCTTTCTCTCATCCTCCCTTCTCTTTCTTATTTCATTCATGCTTATACAGCACTGCAAAAATCTTCAACCTTTCGGGAGCAAAGCTTTTTGTCACCCCTTAGTGGACTCAAGCTGCTAAGTCACCTTCATATAAACCATTATACACTGGAAGTTTATTTAAAAGGGGAAGGAAGATGTTTTAGTCTGATGTTCAAAATCTGGTCCTGCACAAAGAAACCTCACACTCAAGTAACCCTTTACTGATTATCTCCATTCTGAAAGTGTCCCTACACAACTCTTCTCTTTGTGAACGCCTTCCCAGCAAAGCAACATTTTTTTTAAAAAAAAACAAAACCCAATACATATTGAGTTTCTTTTCTTGTTCTTTTTAAAATCATCGCCAATACAATAAAACGTTCAAATCATCTGCCAATTGTTTGCTGAAGTTGAAAAGGAAATTTTAGCTGGATTCGTAGACCATCCTACACTCAGTTTTTTTTAACCAGATTTTGTTGACCAAGCCAAAACAATCCCAGTCTACAGATCCCAATGAGTAAATGCTCAAATATTCCTTTCTCCTAAATTTTCTTCAGGCTCTTTCATTTTTCTTCCTCATTCTTAAGGATAACCAACAGAAATCCTATTAGGGGTAAAAGATTCATCAACCTTTCCTTTTTAAGTTTCTTTTCTTTGTTATCCAATCTTCTCTGTGTTGAATTCAGCAAAGGAACTAAGAGTTGTGGTCACACAAAACTGGTGGCTAAGCAGGGTAGATGAAGTTTATTGGATGAAAGTAGGGTTCAACCCACCATGCTGAGCTAGAAAAATGGGTTACTTCAGAAAGCTGTATGTGATTGTAGCCTCTGAGTATGTCAAGAGGGCTGAAGAAGAAGAAGAAAAAAGAGTGTTGGAAAAAGGAGATGGAGAGAAGAGAAATGAATGAATGAGAGTGAAAGAGTGGGAAGGTTATGCAAGTCAATCTTGATGTTTCCTCCACTTGTCCATCAATGGAGGAGGAGCTAGAGCAGGGGTCTTTAAACTTGGCCCTGGCTGAGGAATTCTGGGAGTTGAAGTCCACAAGTCATAAAAGGGCCAAGTGTGAAAACCCTGAGCTAGAAGATCTTCCAATGGCAAGGAGGTCCACAGGCTAGGGATTGGCTGTTAAGCCCAACACATCAAACTTGGCTTGTATATTTTGGATAAGTGGCTAGTTTCTTTTCAATATATTATTTGAACCAGGAAGAACGAGTCAATTTCTTCAGCCCATTGGCCAAACCCAACCAGTGAGTCTTCTAAAGAAGGAGTCAAAGACTTGTTGCGAAGGAGATTTTATTATGAAAGAGTAGCACATGGGAATAAACTACGACCAACAGGGTTTTGCAGAGATTAAGAACAAGAAAACAAGCAAGCAGCTTTGGTGGGCTGAGAAAGGGAGAAGGTTCATCTCTATAGAACATTCTTCACTGTCTCCACCATAATGAAGTCCCAATTCAACAAAAGGAATTATTTTGAAAGCGTAAAGGTTTTAGAGGCTCGGTTCCTGAGCTGCAGGGATAAATCAGAAAAGATCACTGAAAGCAGAGCCCAGAATGACAAACACAGACCCTGATCAGAATTCAGGGCCTGTCAATCTTCCATTCATCCTTCGGTTGGTCACTCAGATGAGTTTAACAAGGAGAATAGGAGATGCTGCCTCTTTTGCCCACAAAGTTATAATGGCGACCAAGGCGAGACACAAGCCCACCAGCTCCTAGAAGACCAGTGGGCAACCCTTGGCCGTAGCCACCAATAGCACATGGTGTGTTGCCTCCGACGGCGACGGGATCACAGCTGGCAGACAGGATGGGACCAGGGATGGTGACCACAACTGGGGAGGGCTGGATGGTCACCTCAGATGGTGGGAGCTGGTTGATGCAGGAAGGGAGGATGCCTTCCAAGGTGCCCAGACTGCTTGAAGACTCAGTCAAGGGGAAAGGACGGAGACCCAAGCCTCTGGAGAGCAGGCCTCCGAAAGCGGCAGATCCGAACCCAACCGATGGGGTGGAGGCCAGAGATGGAACGGCACAGGATGGTCCACAGAGAGCCATAGTGATGGAGTGGTGGAGGTGAGCTGAAAGAACCCAAGAGGAGAACCATGGTTACAATATACGTGAAGACCATTATCATCTGCAGGTTTCTTGGCCAACCCAACCCAATCCCCTTGCTTTTTGCTTCTTCGCTTCTCCTTGGGAAGCCAGTCTAGAGAGAAGAAGGACTAGCGGGATAAGCGCCGTCTTTAAATTCCCATCCTGAGCTGAGCATCCAAATTTATCCAGCCTTGGTCCAGAGTTTCCTCCTAAGACCTGGGAAATCAAGCTCTTCCGTGGAAAAATAAGAAAGGCATCAATTCCTCCTAAGAATGCGATTAAATTTCGGCCGAGTTCAGTTGCAAATAAATTTCAGCAAAGGTTCGTTGTTCCCAAGAGAAGCTTACCTGAGTCAGGCGAGGTCTGAAGCCGTTTGAGAACTGCAGAGGGTCCAACGGTTTATATACACCTCCAAATCCTTCCCCTTGGCCTTCATTAATTCATAATTATCTCATCTCCAAATTTGGCTGGATTCATCAAGGCCCCAATTACTTTAATCACCCCCAATGTTTCATTGTCATCATCTCAAAGCTGGGTGAATCACAAAGTTTACCAGCTTCCTTTAATTTCTCTCTTTCTCTTTCTTCATAATGTTTCTTTTAGGATGGCATTTCAAGCCTCACCTGGAGCCAAGAGTCCATTCCACCGTGCGTGGCATTTTTTTTCCTTCCGCGTTTAAAATATGTTAATTGCAAAAGAATGCTTTTCCGAGGGAGGAGATGAAAGGTGATTTTTCTGGCTTCCTTCCCTAGAGCTGGGGGTTCAAGCCGAGGGTCCCAACGTGGCTCATAAAAAAAAGATAAACCGAGTCTCTGAATTATCCAGATTCTGAGTTTGTTCAGCCTAAATGAATTGGGTTGGGGGGGGGGTCCTTGGGGCTCTGTCTGAGCTTGTTTGTTTTCTTGCAGATATTTCATTACCCAAACTAGGTAACATCACTAGCCCTGATGATGTTATCTAGTTGGGTCATGAAACGTCTGCAAAAAACCCAACCAAGCTCAGAGAGCACCAAAGATCCACAATCCTCCTCATCCTTCTCCTCCTCCTCTCCACAACCACCCCTTCCGTCTAACCCTGACGATGTTCCCTAGTTGGATCATGAAACGTCTGCAAAAAAACCACCCAGCTCAGAGAACACCAAGGACCTCACAGTTCTCTTTCTCTTCCTTCTCCTCCTTCTTCTCCTCTTCCTCCCTTCTAACCCTGATGATGTTCCCTAGTTGGGTCATGAAACGTCTGCAAGGAAACCACCCAGCTCAGAGAGCACCAAGGACCCCACAATCCTCCTCTTCCTCCTCCTCCTCCTCCTCCTCCTCCTCCTCCTCCTCCTCCTCCTCCTCCTCCTCTCCGCTATGCCCCTTCCTTCTAACCCTGATGATGTTCCCTAGTTGGGTCATGAAAAGTCTGCAAGAAAACCAGAGAGCACCAAGGATCCACAGTCATCTTCTTCCTCCTCCTCCTCCCCTCCTCCTCCTCCTCCTCTTTACAAACCCCCTATTGTCCTAGCACTGATGATGTTCCCTAGTTGGGTCATGAAATGTCTGCAAGAAAACCACCAAGCTCAGAGAGCACCAAGGACCCCACAACTCCTCCTCCTCCTCCTCCTCCTCCTCCTCCTCCTCCTCCTCCTCCTCCTCCTCCTTTCTAGCACTGATGATGTTCCCTAGTTGGGTCATAAAACGTCTGCAAGAAAACCACCCAGCTCAGAGAGCACCATCGACCCCTCATTTCAACTCCGAGCTACAAATATTCTCCTTTATTGGACTGGGTTTGTTAAGCAAGCATAATGCTCAACACTTTAAAAGAAAAAGAAAAGAAAAAAGAAAAACAGAAGTAGAAAAATAATCCAGGTCAGCTGAAATCTATGTGGATGATACCTAGAAAGTCACATGCAATTTAAGATCAGGTTTCGGCTTTTTCTCATGGGCTGCTGAGACATCAGCTTGGGCTTCCAAGAGATGGACAATTGGCAATTAAAGATGATTTTTTCAGACTAGCCTTTAGCCCTTCGTAGAAGGAATTCAGATGAGCTCGGCTTTCAGAAATATTTGATCTTTGAAAAAAGCTTGGAAAAGGCAAAACATCCTGGGCAGGTTTAATAATTATAATTTTTGAAAGCTAACCACAAACCACAGGGAAAAAGGTTTCGGCGTTATCCCTGCCTGAAACCAGAGATCTTTACCACAAGTTTATACAAATGGATTTTTTTTTTTGAAGTTTGCTCTGTTTAATTATTAATTTTGGGAGAGGAAAATGCATCACCCTGCTCTCGTTCCTGTAAACAAATGAGCTCAGAAAAAGACATTTGTAATCTGTCTTTGAGCAATGTGCTGACTCATGTTACTTACACTGGCATCTTCCTTTGACTGACTTCTTAATATTGCTTCATCTAAACCATGTTTTGTGGGTTCGAGGGGGATAATTTGGGGTCCGGTGCAGAGAACCTGGGAGAATTTCATGACCAGGTTAGATGAAATTGGGCAAATGCAAGCATGGGCAAAAACTAACTGTAGAGAAGCTGGTTAGTTGATCTCCAGATTAATCCTGAGAAAGTAAAAGAAAAATAGTTTTTGGAGAGGAAAAAGAAAAGGAGGTTCGATGGAAGATGGATGGATGGATGGATAAGACAGAAAGAGAAGCAAAGGGAGAAGGAGAGGGAAGGAAGGAAGGAAGGAAGGAAGGAAGGAAGGAAGGAAGGAAGGAAGGAAGGAAGGAAGGAAGGAAGGAAGGAAACACTCAGAAATGTAAGCTTGTAAGAAACTGAAAATGGAGTTATTAAAGAGGCAAATTTGTCCTGAATCCTCAAGGTTATTAAAATAATTTGTTATAAGTGATGCTGATGATACAATTTGTTAATGCCTAATTAAAGCTCCAGGCTTCATCAGGGCCATGGAGGAGGAGACCTCTGAGAATATATAAGCCCATGCTTTGGACTGTCTTCTCAACAGCTTCACCAGGACCTCTCAGTTTCTTAGCCTCCAAAACAGGTACAGTTGAGTTGAGGTGAGTCTCCTGGAAGAAGAGAGACGTCTTCTCCCAATTTTGTGGAGCTTTCAGAATTGCTCTCTCTGCTCTTTGGGTGGATGATGGAGACAGATCTGGAAGCTCACAGAGACCTGGTCCATGGAGAACATGACCAGGTGTCTTCTGAATGGAAATTGCAATGCTACTCAACCATGGTTCTTCTCTTGGGTTCTTTTAGGTCATCTCCACCACTATGGCTTTCTGTGGACCATCCTGTGCCATCCCATCTTCTGCCTCAATCCCATCCATTGGATTTGGATCTGCTGGTTTGGGAGCCCTGCCCCCCAGAGGCTTGGGTCTCTCACCCTTCCCCTCGGCTGAATCTTCAGGAAGCCTGGGCACCCTGGACGGAGTCATCCCCTCCTGCATCAACCAGATCCCACCATCTGAGGTGACCATCCAGCCCCCTGCAGTTTTGATCAGCATTCCTGGTCCCATCCTGTCTGCCAGCTGTGAGCCCATCGCTGTTGGAGGCAACACTCCATGTGCCCCTGGAGGTTTTGGACGCTTCGGTGGTGGCTACTATGGAGGCCGCTTGGGACGTTTCGGTCACCGTGGAAGCATCTGTGCTCTCCCCTGCAACCTCCCCTGTTACGTTAACCCGGACTCTCCATGACCAAAAACGGATTTGTGAAGATTGGCTAAGGCATGTTTGGCCTGCATTTAGCTTCCACAGTTCTCTTCCATCTACTCTCAAGTTACTCCACTGCTTGTATTCTTCTCCGGTATCCCAACATCTATTAGCCGGGATCATCCCTTCCTGCATCAACCAGATCCCACCATCTGAGGTGACCATCCAGCCCTCTGCAGTTGTGGTCACCATCCCTGGTCCCATCCTGTCTGCCAGCTGTGAGCCCGTCGCCGTTGGAGGCAACACCCCATGTGCTCCTAGCCGCCAAGGGTTGCCTCTGAGTCTCGGAGGCCAACCTCGCCTGGGTGCTGGTTATGGGTTTGTTGGTGACAGAGGCAGCATTTGCTACACCCCCTGCTAAACTCACCTGGACAGTCGAAAAAAAGAGGAAGATGGAAGATCTGAAAGGAACAACAGCAGAACCTTCTACTAGATGTTCCTCACCCCATTCATCACTCCTCATCTTTTCTTAGCCTGAATGTATTCTTTTGTATCCTGGTTTTCCCCCCCCAAAACCAAACAAACATGTGCTTTTCTGGTGGTTATTGGTCCACAGCTCTTTCGTCCACACATCCTTGAAAGGAATCTGAGCTTGTTGTGCTTCTGCTGGTGAATCACACAGGATGAAGGAGACAACACTTTTTTTGCCAAGGGGAACTCTAGTTTTGCTCCACCGTGAAACTACCAAGGAAAATTTGTTTGGCGTGTTCTCTGTGCATGTTTTTCTCCTTCCTAAGAAGGAAGGTGTAAGAAGGTGTTCATTCTGGTTTATTTTACCCTTCCTTCTTAATAAAACATAGCATCTCAGTTTGGGTCTCTTCCATTTCTTTTCAATAATGTCAAGATAGCCAGGATTGTGAGCAGTAAAAGACAAGGCTCTCTAGACAAGGATACAGCTAGACTTGAAACAGTTCATTTAGATACAACAGCACTGGAAAAGTTGACTTTCCCACACTTACAACCGTTGCGGCATCCCCATAGTCCCGGGATCAAAATCCGGACGCTTGTCCAGTGATTCGTATTTATGACGGTCACAGTGTCCCGGAGTCACGGGCTCCTCTTTTTATGACCTTCTGACCAGCCCAGTCAAGGGGGAAGCCAGATTCGCTTAACGACCGGGTCCCTAACTGAACCACTGCAGTGATTCATTTAACAACTTGGGGAAAACTCATTTACCAAATGTCTCACTTAGCAACAATCGTGGTCGTAAATCAAGGACTACCTGTATTTAGAAGGTGGAAGTGGGACACCCTATGTCCGTGTGGAGAGGTAAGCTAAATTAAGGGAATTCCTTTCCCATCTGAGATCAGGCTGATATAACTTGATGGATCATTTAATTTATTGATTTGATTTCTGTAGCCGTCCATCTCAGTCAACAGATTATGCACATAGACACTCTGACATTAATATATACATATATATATAGAGAGAGAAATTAGAAATTCTGATGCTGCAAGAAGCTTTATTATGAAAAGGTTGATCAGTGTAAGATCAGAAGGCAATACATGTGGTAAGGAACAATGTACACAAGGGAGAAATGGACAACATTGCTTTGTCGGCTTCGTCACGGCCGTACACAACCGTGTATTTGAAATGAGTAAAAGAGGAGCAAAATGGGGAAGAGGGAAGAACTTTCCAGCTTTAGTAGCTCCGTGGAGCTAAGCACACCCTCTCTACTATGGGTGCAAACTGGAAAGGTTGAGGCAGGAAGAACTTAGAAAGCATCACGTACACCGAGAGTAACACAATAGACCAAAGATGGCAATCTTGTTTTCATTTCCAGATGGTTCTGCCCTGTGGGCTTCAACACTTCACAAGGTTCTCAGTTGTACGTCAGGCACTTCCGGGAGTATCTTCTCCAACCTCCGTAGTTCCCGTAGCCAGAGTATCCAAGCCGGCCGTACGCCCCGTAGGCTACGTTCAGCGGGTGAGTGTAGCTACACGGTGTCACTTGGCTCACCGAGACAGGATCATAAGTGGAGGATAGGATGGGACCTGGGATGGACACCACTGAAGCCGGAGGTTGGATGATGAGTTCCGATCCAGTGAGTTGGCTGGAACAATTGATGTGGCTACCGGTGTAGTAGTTGGCTGCAAGGCCGGTGAGGGTGCTGGATCCGTACGATGGGACTACCGCATAGGATCCATTGGAAGCATAAGGCACATGGGAGATGGACCCACAATAAGACATCTTGGGGTGATCTGGAAGGCAGGCAATGCAAAAAAAAAAAAAAAACAGCAGTGGAGACTAAGATGGAAGGAGTAAGAAGTTACTTAAAATGGGAAGGGAAGTTAGAGGATTAATAATCAGACAGTAAACAACAACCTAATCAAGGACTTACCAAGGAGAAAACTACACTCCCATCAACACTGAGAAGGCAAGCCACTAGTATAAAAAAAGAAGAAGAAACCCTACTCTCTCCTAGCACTGATGATGTTATCTAGTTGGGTCATGAAACGTCTGCAAGGAAACAACCGAGCCCAGATAGCACCAAAAATCTCCTTGTCTTCTCCTTTCCCTTCGTTTGTTCTCCTTCCTTCCTTCCTTCCTTCCTTCCTTCCTTCCTTCCTTCCTTCCTTCCTTCCCTCTTCCTCTTCTTCTTCTCTTCCTTCTCCTTCTCCTTGCAAACCCTACTCCCTCCTAGCACTGATGATATTGCCTAGTTGGGTCATGAAACATCTGCAAGAAAACTACCAAGGACCCCACAGTAGAAACTGATTAGAAGTCACTCCAAATTAATCTGATGATGATAAACTAGATTTTTTTTTTGGCTCTTCTAACACCTCCATCTTTTCTCTTAGATTTTCACTTCCTTCTATCTTGGATACCTTCCATGTCTCTTCTTACGTTATTTTACTTGCTTGATAATGAATGTACCCCATCTCCTTATGATGATCTAGAACCATGATAAAGCTTGATTTGATTTGATGGATGAAATCAGAGTCAGGACAAATGGGAATGAAAAGATCTGGAGATCCTGAAGCTTCCAACTTCAACCTCCTGGAGAGACTTCTGATCCTACCCACCTGGGATCTCTTGATGTTCTTCACTGGGACATATAATCTCTTAGCCCCCACCACAAAAATTTCATGGGCAGGAACAATGCACTCAGCCAGAGCTACATGGATGATGGAGCAAACAGAGACAGGGAGAAAAACCAACCCAACTCCTGAGGAAGAGATGGATTTGAATTAAGCTTACCTGGTTCTTGGAGAAACAGAACGGAGAAGGTGATAGGGAGTGGATGCTTACTGTGTGAAGTCTCCAGGCTGTCAAGTCCTTTTATAGGGTTCTCCTGACCTCGTACGGGGTGGGAGATGGGAGCGCCAACCCCCCTCCCACACAGGCCTTTCTTAATGAGAGGACAGGAGGAGAGATGAAAACGAATGATCAAATCGTTTTCAGTTTGTTTACTTCTCTGACCATTTGGCATCTGTTGGGTTATCTACAGTGGGTTACATCAATCCAGAGCTGTTACGCCCTGAAGAATTGCTGGTCTTGCAACAACTGAAACTGCCCCTGTTACGGTGCCAAAGACGATGTCCAAACTCCAGCTTGCAGCACGGCAACCAGAGCTCAGTTTCGGGGACTCGCTGGCAAAATTGGAGGCAGGTAGACCTCACTCCCCATGACCAGCTGATGTTGCTTATGGTGAAATCTGTGGGGAGCTTTGCCTGGGGAGGGAGGGGTGGCTGTTTCGGAAGAACGGGAGAGGGAAAACAAACAAACAAGCTGCTACTTCAATGCTTGTTAAGAAGATGGGCCCCAGGCCAAGGACATACAAATCCTGCTTAATGCAGCATGTCAGATGATTTGGGGAAAGCCATATGTGAGATACTTCTGAAGAGAAGCAAAGAATTACCGGAAATTAAAGAAACCAATGAATATTGTGATTAAATTTCCAGCCAGTTGACTTATAAGTCATTAAGTCCCCCCCCCCCAAGTTTAAATGCTTGCTTTAATTTTCATTCTTTGGCATAATTATTAAGGTATTTGCAAAGCTCTGGGCCCAAAGTTCATGTCTGGGATTCTAGAATTTCTGGAACTTCATGTCAAGGAAATGGGAGAAGCTTGCCAGAGAAGTCTCTAACGACAGAAGCTAGCTAGGGAAGTTCTCATGAACGCCAAAGTTCTCCACTCTTTGGAGAGGTGAAGAAAGCCCTCTCAAGGACACTGGGAGGGCCTTCCCATGAACGATAGGCCATACCAGGACATAACCAAGCCTATTAAACAAAGATTACAAGGGATCATGTAAAAGAGCGTGGGAAATTGCAGAGTACAAGACTTGTGGGCAAATAGCAGCTGAGATCTTATTAAGTCTTTCTCCCGTGGCCTCCGGGGAAGGTGAGTCTCTCTTCAGAAACACCCAACCAAAACACAGAGTGGCTACATTTTTGCCCCAGTGCCAGGGCTTACTCAGAAGCACCTCATATTGTAAGAAAGAATTGTAGGCCATGGATACAGCTGGAGGTCAAATGTGGCACTGAGACTGCCCCATCCTTGAAGAAGTGAACCTCAAAGCCTGCTCCCCTCCACAATGAAACAGGAACACCCAGCCCCAAACGATGTGTTGACTCAATATTCCATTTAGATATCTCCAGCCTTAAAGTTTCAAACCCACCTATTTCCTTTCTCCTACATCACTGGATCATCTGTGGTCCAAAAATGAGAATGAGGGCAAAATATGGATATGGATTTTTTTTTCAACCACAACTCAAGTATCCAAATAAAGTCCAGGATTTCTTGGCAGCTACATGCCATATTGTTTTCATCTTGTCATGAAGAGTATCCTAAGATTTCCCAAGAGTCTCCTAAGACCTCCTGCTGATGTTGGAGGTCAGACCCATGGAGATGAGGAGACAACGACACAGTTGAAGTTTGGGAAGGGGGGAAGGGAATGGATGGATGGAAAACCCATTCCATGGATGGATCCTAATCAAGGAGAGAAGCAACCTAGAACTAAGGAGAAATTTTCTAACGGTGAGAACAATCAACCAGTGGAAAGCCTTTCCTTCAGGTGCTCCATCGATGGACGTTTTCAAGAAGAGACTGGACAGCCATTTGTCTGAAATGGTATCCTCTCTTGTTTGTGCAAGGAGTTGGACCAGATGACCTTCAAGGTCTCTTCCAGCTCTGTCGTTCTATGTTCTGTATTCTATGTTCTAAGTCATCTGGACTTGATGGGGACTTCACTACTCTAGACCCCTTTAAACAAGAACAATCCTGATGAAATAGCCCAAAATACAACATCAGCTGTTCAAGATGACACATCCACCATTTGGGGTCTCTCTGTAAAGGATGGATGGAATCTCCCTGAACTAGAATGAACCACACATGCTTCATGAATCCAAATGGACTTACCAAATTCTCCTAGGAGAAGATCTGAATGGAGTCGCTGGTAAGTTGGTGACAATGCTACAAATATCTGGTAAAGGACATTTTATACCTTCTCTTGAGAGCATGACGAACCCTGAAATTACAGATCATTTCAAACCTGCTGTCCACGCAAGACATCCAAATTGCTCTATTGACGAACTAGCATGAGATTTTGTGTTCTAATGGTCTAACACCACGATACGTTGAAGAGCCATGCGTCATTTTCCCCCCACTTCATTGGCGTGACAACCAGACAAAGCAAATTTAGGTCTCCTTCATTACATGGGTGCCTCCTGTCTGGCCTGGATTGTCCCCTCCTATTGGGGTGTCATGCTGAAATTTTGGGTGATGTTGTAAGTGAGGAATCTCAAAATACGTTCTCAGCACTGAACTGTTGGAAAAGATTTGGACTCTAGGATTGGGAGTGATACAAAACTGTTGGAAGATTATCTAAAGTGTGTCTGATTTGGCCAGTTCTTAGATGACCCACTACAATGAAATTGTCCACTCTGAGATGGCAAGTTCTCCCAAACTTGATCTTCTGTAATAGGCCTCACAAAGATGTTTTGCGAACTGGGAAAGAGAGTTAGTTGGATTGTGGCTGTATTTCTACCAAGGGTCCAGTCTTTCCCTTTGTGTCAAGATGAGAAGCAAGGTCATGAGGTCATGTTTTTCCTGCAGAGGTCCAAAAATCTACTCAGTGGATATCGTAGACTCAGCAAAGCTGGCTCATTATCTTTGTCTATAAAGCAAATTAACCAGTCTACCATCTAAAAGATATGGAGGGATGGCAATCACAACATTGCTCTACCTACACGTTGGTGGGATGTGAAGGTCTTAACCTTGAGTGACCTCAGAAATCTAAGCAAGGATGAACTTGGTCTGGATTTAGTAGGACCTTTCTTGACAGTGTCCATCAAAATTGGTAATGGTGGAAGGTAGAAGGTGAAGGCTCCACCTTACCTTCCATCAGGCCTTAGAGTGGATTCTTCTCCTGAGCAGGGTTTAACTAAAGTCCTTCCTAACCCTGACTTTCTGTATGTACAAGGATCTGATGATGCTGGCTTGGCGAGTGAAGAATTAGGAGATGTGACTGGAATACTCCATCCAGTTTTGGTCACCACGTTACAAAAAAAAGATGTTGAGACTTTGGAAAAAGTGCAGAGAAGAGCAACTAAGATGATTAAAGGCCTGGAGACTAAAACATATGAAGGACGGTTGCAAAAACTGGGACCAGGGAGGACATGATAGCAATATTCCAGTATTTGAGGGGCTGCCACAAAGAAGTGGGGGTCAACTTATTTTCCAAAGCAGCTGAAGGCAAGACAAGAAACAACAGATGGAAACTAACCAAGGAGAGAAGCAACCTGGAATTAAGGAGAAACTTCCTAACAGTGAGAACAATCAACCAGTGGAACAGAAGTTGCCTCCAGACCTTGTGGGTGCTCCATCACTGGAGGTTCTTAAGAGGAGATTGGACAGCCCCTTGTCTGAAATGGTGTAAGGTTTCCTGTTTGAGCAGGGGGTTGGACTAGAAGACCTTCAAGGTCCCTTCCAGCTCCATTCTGATTCAAAACTTTGTGTCTTGCAGCACGCAACTCAGGGCCTTCCCTGTTGTTGTTTCTCTCATTTTCACAGCCTCCTATCATGTCATCTTTAAGTCAGGGAGCATGTAAAACACAGATAAGGTTTCTGAAGAAAGGGAGTACACTTTCAGGACTCAGCAATATCAAAGGGGAGAGGCGGCGGCTGTGATCAGCCCAGGGGAAAATAGCCTATAATTTCTACTCACTGATCGAGCAGCAACACCCGGGATTACTCCATTCCTGCTTCCTTCTCCAATCAGCCAGATTTCAACTCTTGGTTGAAAGTTACGAAGGCACTGTAAATACTGACGTGCATCCAGTCGGTCACCAAACAAATCGTTGTAAATGGAGGACTGCTTATAGACCCAACCTTGCTGAGCTGGAACCACAGAAAAGATGTGCAGGTCACCCCGTGGAAGGAACTTCATTGAACATTTAAATTTGGGGCAGAAAACAATTGCAAAGGGGGAGAGTTTGAAACCTAAGCTAGAAAAACTTGATCTATTCTCTCTGTCAGTCCTTGCCGCTCAGAGCCACTGAGAGTGAGGAGTAGCCATAAAAATCTTCATTAAGAAAGAATGGAATAGAAAATAGAAAATAGAATAGAATAGAATAGAATAGAATAGAATAGAATAGAATAGAATAGAATAGAATAGAATAGAATAATGGAATGAAGAATAGAATAATGGAATGAAAAATAGAATAGAATAGAATAGAATAGAATAGAATAGAATAGAATAGAATAATGGAATGAAGAATAGAATAGAATAGAATAGAATAGAATAGAATAGAATAGAATAGAATAGAATAGAATAGAATAGAATAGAATAGAATAAGGAATAGAATAGAATAGAATAGAATAGAATAGAATAGAATAGAATAGAATAGAATAATGGAATGAAGAATAGAATAGAATAGAATAGAATAGAATAGAATAGAATAGAATAGAATTTAAAATAACAGAGTTGGAAGGGACCTTGGAGGTCATCTAGTCCAGCCCCCTGCCCAAACAGGAGACCCTGTACTACTTTTGACAGATGGAAGTCCAGACTTTTCTTGAAAGCTTCCAGTGATGAAGCTCCCACAACCTCTGGTCCACTGGTTGATTATTCTCACTGTCAGGAAATAAATGTCAACAGCTGGATAAAATACACCCAAGACATCTGTAGGTCTGCTTTTTCACCTGTGAGGACATTGTAAACCGGAGGGTTGGTTTAGCTAGGCCTGGTCCAGCTGAGCATCCGTTGCCCAACATTTTGGGACAAGAAGCATCTTGTCTCCGGTTGCATATGAGAAACCGACTTTCGCTGTCCAAATAATATTTACAGAAACCAGAATTAAAGCAGGTTGCCAGCTCGAAGGCTGCAACCGGTATTTCGGATTGCAAACTTCAGCAGGAACCAAAACCCAGTCTTGAGATACACACAGTGGATTCGTGGCCCAGTCAATTTGCCCATTTCTTTTGCATTTTTTTTTTTTTTTAGTGCTGAGATTTGCAGCACCTACAAGAAGAAGAAAAAAAAGCGTCACAAGATATTTGAGGAAGTTATTTTGCAGAGCAGGAAGTGGAGAAATGGCGAAGAGACAGATCTGGGTTGGACCTCACGAGAAAGTCCCCCAAGGTGAGAAGTTGTAGGCAGCATGACAGGTGCAAAGGTCTTTGAGCCGAGGCTGGGATTGTCAACCATAAGGACTAGAAACCCATGTCAAAATGAAGGAGCAGTTTTTCATCCAGTTTTGTGTTATAGTTCCATAGTATATGCCTTGTTGTTATTATCCAGTGTTTCAGTTAGGGCAAAATGTGGGAAACTGTGCTGCAAATGGCTGAAAATTGAAAGGGAGACACACACACACAAACACACAAACTTAATTGCTTAAAAGTGCAATCCCACAACTCATGTAAAAAGTCCAGTGAACCTTAATTCTTTTAGTCCGCATCTCAAATGCTCAGTTTGGAGCGTTTCCTCCAAAATCTTAACTATCCTGAGGACTAGGGACTTCCCTTTAAAGTCTCTTTCTGTCTGCCGCTGCCCCCTAGTGGTGTTTGCCAAGTATGGTACATCTGCGAAATACCTTTAAAATAATCAGAACTAAATCTGGAAATATAGGGAGAATCCACCAGATGTCAGTCTGATACCTCACTATAGATGTTTTACTTAGATGGTGATTTAGATGGGTAGGTAAAAAAATATAGGGAAAAAATAGGTGTTACTAACAGCATTTGAGCACACATTTCCAGTTTTTGTTGATCTGTTTTGTATGGAAATTGCTTGATACCCATTGCGAATTCAGCATGAACCATTTGCATTTCAGGCCACAATCTAGGGCCTTCATTCCCATGGAAATTCTCAGCAGCATGTCGGTTAAACTGGAGTTCACGTTATTCCCAAGCGGGGGCTCTGGAATTGAACTCAGTCTCTCCAAATCCCTACATGGTGGTCTCCTCCTCTTGAAAACCATGTTCGTGGCCACCTTTGGGAGAATGGCTTGTCACAATTTTGTGAGGAAGGGCTAGAGATCCACCAGGTTTTGGGAGATGAGCGGTGGGAGTCCTTGGTGCTCTCTGAGCTGGGTTTTTTTTTTCTTTCTTGCAGATGTTTCATAACCCAGATAGATAACAGCATCAGTGTTAGAAAAGAGTAGGATTTGCTCTCGATACATTGTCCCTTCTAGCATTGATGATGTTCCCTAGTTGGGTCATGAAATGTCTGCAAGAAATCAACCAGGCTCAGAGGGCACCAAGGACCCTATAGTCGTCGTCGTCGTCGTCCTCCTCCTCCTCCTCCTCCTCCTCCTCCTCCTCCTCCTCCTCCTCCTCCTCCTCCTCTCCACAAGATGTTCCCTAGCTGGGTCATGAAATGTCTGCAAGAAATCAACCAGGCTCAGGGGGCACCAAGGACCCTATAGTCGTCATCCTCCTCCTCCTCCTCCTCCTCCTCCTCCTCTCCACAAGATGTTCCCTAGCTGGGTCATGAAATGTCTGCAAGAAATCAACCAGGCTCAGAGGGCACCAAGGACCCCATAGTCATCCTCCTCCTCCTTGGACAGCCATCTATCTGAAATGGTATAGGGTCTCCTGCTTGAGCAGGGGGCTGGACTAGAAAACCCCCAAGGTCCCTCCCAACTGTGTCATTCTGTTACTTTCACTCTGGAGTGAGAACCTGATAGCAGACTTGGATCCCATCACAAAACGAGAAGACCAAAACTGTCATGCAAAGCAAGCTTTATTTTATGCCCCGTCTTGATTCATTCCGGAGCAGAAACAAGTAAGCTTCAAGACGGATTGTGCAGACCAGGTGGGTGATCAAAAGGAGATCAAATATTTTCGCACATACCCTTAAGGGTGGGTCAGCAGGTCCTTGAAGGATGGAGATTTGGTGGGGGGGAAAAAAGCAGATGATGGGGTGGCTTTCAAGAAGCGCCAAGCCATCCAAAATTCCTTCAGGAACCTCTGAAGACTTGGCCTTTTGGAAAGCCACCCTGGCATGCAACATCTTCATGGATTCTTCGGAGCTTAGCAGGGTCCACAGAAGCTGCCGCGCCTGGATCCATATTGATACCTAGGCCTATAAAAGGGGTCGTAGGAGATGGATTGGCGACGGCCATACAGACCACCATATTGACATCCATAGTTGTAGCCTCCAGAACCGTAGCCTCCAGAACCGTAGCCTCCGGAACCGCAGCCTCTGGAACCGTAGCCCCCATAGCTCAGAGGTGGGCAGTATCTGTTGCCGTAACCATAAACGTGGTCATAACCTACAGGCTGGTAGCAGATACCTCCATAGGATGGGCCTTGATAACCGTAACCACAAGGGGGGCAGTAGCGGATACCCCGGCCGTAATTCCCATAACAGCTTCCACTGCTCCGGCGGGTTCTATACTTGGAGCCACTGAGGCTACTTCCAGAGGAGAAATGTCTGGGACGACATGGATCATAACAGGACTGGTTTGGATAGTAGGGCATCTTGCTTAGAAGAAGATGGGTAGATCTGAAACGAGACACAAAACAATGAAATGAGGTCACTTTCAGCTCATAAGAATCCTTGTTGACTAGAGGAATGATCTCAGAAGGAAGAATCATGCCCTCATTCATTCCTCCACAAGAACTTTCCGACTTCTGTCATTCCTCCAAACCTAAGAGGTGGACACCAACTCCCCAAATTCCTCAGCCACCATCCAAGGATTTAGAAGGGGTCTAATCAAATATCCTGGTGGAAATTCATGCGTTCCATCTACAGAAGGCCACCCAATTTCTCAAGATGGACCACTTGTTCATTTTGAGAAGTTCCACAAACAGACGCAAGAGGAGATGTCTTAAAGAAGGACAGCTGAGAATTGAGGCAACGCTCTAAAGGCCCACATAAGCAAAGAAGAGCATAAGAGAAGAGGTGAAGTCTTAAGAAAGAAGACTCCCTAGAAGAACTTACTTGGATATCAGAAGGTCTGAAGCTCAAGTAAAGCTGTTGAAGCTCTGTTGTGTGACTTCTCCTTTTATACTTCTCTGATCATGAGGCAGCTCTAGTGTGTTGGGTTTTCTAATCTCAATTAATTATAAATCTTGATATGTTAAGCAAGTAACATCCTAATTGCTTTAATTGTTTGTTTTTTCCCCCTTCTTTGAAGCCATTAGTTTATCAAAAGCATCTTGATGTAAAGTCAGCATGATGCTAGCTAACACCTTCAAACTGCCTTTCAAATGAGTGAGCTTATGACTGGATTTAATTTCATAGCTGTTTGGAAGTTTCATCAGAATGTTCATCCCACACCAGACTTGGTGGACCTAACACCGGAAGAGAATACGGAATTGGAAGGAACCTTGGAAGTCTTCTAGTCCAACCCCTTGCTCAAGCAGGAGACCCTATACCATTCCAGACAAATGGCTGTCCAGTCTCTTCTTAACATCCTCCAGTGATGGAGTACCCACGGCTTCTGCAGGGAAGCAGTTCCACTGGTTGAAGAACAACTGAAGATCGACATATTGTTGAAGGTCAATCTAGTCCAACAGTTCCTATGATGGCCACAAAGATGCCATCACCGTGTGGTTGAATACAATCTCTCTGGTGGTTCAAATCTAGTCCAACATTTCTTATGGTGGCCACCAAGATGCCCCCACTGTGTGGCTGAATACAATCTCCTTGGTAGCTCTCCAGATTTTTAATTTAGCTGATGTAGTGGCCTTCTTGACATATCACACTAAGCATAACATGCTTTATTTGAGTTTGACACAGTGCATTACATGACCTGTGGCCTCATAAGCCATGGTTTACATCACAGTTTGTATAAAAACACCTCAGTGTGTTTTGACCAATACACTGTTATAATTATTAGGTTAGGTGATTAGAAGGGAATGAGTTAACCTAATTTTATCCAAGCCATCAATTCAGATGGAATTGCTAAGTGGAATTCCCATGAATAATCTCCTTTAGCTCCATCTGATTGGACAAGAAAATCATCTGAAGATCCTATTTGGGCAACTTTGGAAAATCCAGCGGCATCATCAAAGCTGATCCAAACTTACTTTATGGACGGATGTGAGCACTTCACGGTGCATCTTCACAAGGTCCCTTCTTTGATTTCAGGGTTTAGAAATCTAATTAATAACAAGTTCTTCTTAATTTATTCTTCTGATACAATGACTCAAATGCCGACTCAAATGTCACCCTAAAGCTTTGATGAACGAGCAGGAAGTAAAACAGCACTATTTTTTTTTTTAAAAAAAATACAACAACCAAGGTTTTAAGCTAGAAATAAGAACATTGCCATGGACTTGAAGGATCCTCCATTGCTTAATTTAATCCCATCCTGGTTTCCTGTAAACCATAGTTCCCATGCAAATGTTCTCTGACAAGCTCTGATGGGTTTCTAGATGAGAACTGGATGGGATTTCTAGACCACAGAGACTCCTGTGGTCATGAATTGGCCAATGTCTTAGAAATCTCATTTTGTTTCTTTTGTCATTTCCAATTTTAACTTTAATTAGACATCTGATAAAATCAGAACACTCTTGATTTGGTGGACAAGGGATGGGAAGATTGACTCAGGTCCAAATTAACATGCTTATAGGATTCGGATCATGTGCTCAATCTGGGCTCAGGAAATTCAAATCAATTTGGCGTTTGGATCGTCCGGGTGGATCGAATCAACCTCGATCGATTCAATCAGCCCTCTGCTTTTCATTTCAGTCACTTCTCTGATCCTTTTTGAAGAGAAAAGACTAGTTTACGCTTCCTTCCATAGCATATTTTGTCCAAGCAACTTTGTAAGCTCACTCCAAGGTATGAAGGATTGGAGAAATTATTTTGCAAACATATTAGCAGCGATGAATGGATAGGATACCTATAATTTATTTTTAACTCATTTCTCATTAACGTTAATTTCAGCTAGATCCTGCCCTTGGCCTGCCCGTAAGTGTCCCTTTGACTCATAAAAAAAATTACTTAATCTGGTAATAATTTGGCATCAGGAGAGGAGAGCAGGTTGTTCATTGTTAACGAGAATTTACACACTCACATTGCTTAACCTGCAACTGAATTTAAAATGAATCACAAATCCAAGGAAGTCACAACACACACAAAGTCAGAACGACGAAGCAAACATATTATTCTCTGCCTAGGCTAGTTGATTGGTTTTCTTCCCTAAATCACTTCTTCAGTTTCCCCCCAATTTTTAATCCCCCTGTTTAATTTTTTAAACTTCAGGTCCAAAAATCAATTTGGTTATTCCAGGAGAGGGACAGCTAAATCAATTCGATGTAGGAAATTGTTCCAGTTTCCACCACCTTGCTTTGGATCTGAGGGCTACAACTTCATAAACCGGTCCAGAGACTAATTAAGGTTATATTCTGCTGTTCTCCTTCAATTTGTCGCGTCTGATCTTCCCACTTTGTTATATTGTGATTCACATCCATTGGCCTTCTCTGTGTTTGCCTCTCCCTTCTGAGACCATTATAAATATAATTAGCGTGGTCTGTTTCCTTCGCAGACGAAATACTGCCTTGGCAATAAAAACCAGTTTCTCCCAATATATTTGGGGCCAAAGCTGCAGGCTGTTCTGCTTCTTCTTTTAATCTTTTAATGTAGTTCCCAGGTGCTCCCCTGCTTAAATTCCATCAGATTGGAGGCATACTCACATTGTACCGCCATCCCCAAAAAAATCTATGTTAAGAGAGGGGGGGAAGCATTTGATAGAGTAGAAATTAGATAAAGCAGAGATTATGGCTTAGCTTTTTTGGCCAGCAAACTTGGACAGATGCAGTTTGTTCCCCAAACAGTGGCTTGGCTAACCCTGGTTTAATTTGTGGTGTGAATCTGGCCAGGTGTTTGAATGTTGATAGGCCTGGTCCGCAAGTGGTTTTCTTTTCCAAGGAAGATCTTCTAAAATGCTGCAAGGTGAAGACAATTGAGGCGCTGTATCCAAAGGAGGGCTAAGAGGGATGTTGGTTAAGGACATCAATCCAAGCAAAGAAACATCATTGCTTTGATCAACCTTTGCTCAGGATGGAGTGAATAAAACCTGATCAATAAAGACCAGCATCCTCTAATTGACAGGATAAATAATACAGATGTCCCCTACCCCAAGTCTTTTACCTGCAGTGAGTTTATGGGGTTTTTTTTCTCGCTGCTAAGAAGGAAGTCTTTGGCAGGAGGTGGATGGATGGATGGATGGATAAAAAGATGGAGGGAGAAGGCAAGACCAGAAACAATGACAAGGACAAGAAGGCAAGACAGGAAGCAACGAATGGAAACTAATCAAGGAGAGAAGCAACCTGGAATTAAGGAGAAGCTTCCTAACAGTGAGGACAATTAACCAGTGGAACGGCTTGCCACTAGAAGTTGTGGGTGCTCCATCACTGGAGGTTTTCAAGAAGAGCCTGGACAACCATCAATGTGAAAAGATATAGGGTCTCCTGCTTGAACAGGTGATTGGACTAGAAGACCTCCAAGGTCTCTTCCCACTCTATTCTGATTGATTGATTGATTGATTGATTGATTGATTGAGGAAGAAAAGAAGAGGGAAGATTGCAGTAAAAGATACTATCAGTAAATTAGGGTTGAGCTTGGTTGTTTGCTTGCAGATATCCCATTAATCTACTGGGTAACATAATCAGTGCGAGGGAGTGTGGGGTTTTCTCCCTGATGATCTACAGTAGCTTGCCCTGCCTGTGTTGATGGAGGTGTGATGTTTTTCCTTGATAGTTCCTTGATCAGGGTATTGTTTTCTGCTTGTTTGACTGGTATTAATCCCTGCTTATCTGGGTGTTGGCTGTTGGAGAGTATGTATTCTAGTTTTTTTGTTTTCTTCATAGTTTTTTTTTAAATTCTCTCTTTTGAATGGCATGTAAATGTAGTTTATCTCTATGTGTCTATTGATGGATGGTTGTTTTTTTTTCTGAATGAAGAAGAATCCCCTCGTGTTTTGGGATTTAGTTTGGGCTACCCAAGTCTCTGAGAGCTTCGGTTCCTCAAATCAAGATAGAACGATGCGTTCCAAAGGTTGGGGAGTTGTAGCAAAGGAGAAAAGTAGCTGCTGATGGAAACAATCAGCCATCTCGTTCTCTGCAAATGATAATGGTGGCAGATAAGCCAGCTGAGTCAAAAGATAAAGAGAGTTCTTGATGGACCTGTTCTAAGATTTGTTGACATCTGAATGCGGAAAGATGCCTGGCTTGTGAGCAACTTCCTTTCATTATCAAGTGAAATCTGATACCCAGCTGGGGTATATGCCTAGGAATATCTCCCAGACCCAATCTTTGGGGAGACACAACATCTCCACTCCAAGCACAGGAACCAATTTCTGGTGAGAAGGTGGAGGGACGCAGAGCAGGAGACCTCAATACAGAGGGATCCATATTTCCTTTTTCTTCCAGGTCTCCTTCTCCTTCTGCTCTCCTCCTCCTCTTCCTCATCCTCCTCATCCTGCTTCTTTCCTCCTTTTTTCCTCCTTTCTTCTTCTTCTTCTTCTTCTTCTTCTTCTTCTTCTTCTTCTTCTTCTTCTTCTTCTTCTTCTTCTTCTTCTTCTTCTTCTTCTTCTTCTCCTTCTCCTTCTCCTTCTCCTCCTTCTTCATTATTATTCTATCATTCTCAGTTTTGTCAGATAATAACAGAGTAACAGAATTGGAAGGGGCCTTGGAGGTCATCTAGTCCAACCCCCTGCTCAAGCAGGGGGCCCTTGTTCTTCTTCCATAAAATCTGTTTTAAACACAGTCTCTCTGTAATAGTACACACTGTTAAAATTAACGTCTTGGTCCATTGTTCAAAAAAATATTCTTCAATATCTTTCAAAGTTAAAATATGTTTTCTTCGTTCATTTTGCCTTTCGCATTCAAAGGGTGAAAGATCAGAAATGGGAGTGCGATTTAAAAATAAAAATAAAAACCCAGCACTTAAAATGATCAACCATTATCTAATTAAATCACGTTTTCTGCCCATACTTTTTTTGCCCTCTGCTGCTGCTGCTGAAGAAGTTTCTTTTTTCTCCCCCCCTTTCTATTTAATCGTTTGCAT